CAGGATTGCTGTAACATCAAAGTACTTGGGGTTGGGAGTGGAGATGGTAGTCCAGATATAGAAATCGCCAGGATCATTAGAGAAGAGGTACAGCGAAGCGAACTGCATCGTCAGACAAAGATTTCCAGCATATCCCTCGACCCAAATGAATGTTTCTTGCAGCATTTTCAAGTCTTACTAAAGAATCTCCCAGCCTTATTGCTTGATGGTAACACCACTTTTAAGTTCTTCACAGAGTCCTTCGAAGATTTCATTGCYGAAGATAAGCCTTCGACCAAGTACCACATCATTCACTTTATTCACAGCATATAWYATKYWGAMATYGAGAAAACTCTACTGAAATGYTTTRACGACKTRCTGTCTGAAGATGGTAAGATATTTTGTATCGTGAMTGCCAAASGTGATATCTCATATAAGCTCTGTCTGAAACAAGGTCATCTTTCTCCCACTGGCGAACCCATATCGACTGAYCAAGTAYTTGAAGTCGTTAAAAAASATGGCTGGAAATACAGAGAGTCTRCCATTGAGTTTAAAATYGATGCTACTGAAGTGTTTGATGAAGATTCGGTCGARGGGAACTACCTRCTTGACTTCATGACACAAACATTGAATTTTCGTGYGACTGCAGACMCTAAAAAGTTTCATGAAACTATGGAAATRTTCAAAGAGTTGACGACCATCGAAAACGGAAGACGAGTTGGAAAGAGAGTTGATAAACTTTTGGTGATCGAAAAATAGAGCTCAAGATGCTCATAGAAAAAATATATGTAGACAGATGCTAGCTWAGCTGTATTTTAAGGTTTCTTTCTATATGGGTGCATGTCATTTGATATTCAGCTGTGTTTCAATTAGAAATCTGAAGTCAAGCATAATATTTGTATGGCAATAATAAAGTTATTATTAGATAACACAGACAAAATACGGTGGTGAATCCTTCATGCATACAGTATTCTGTAATAACTATTTATCAAGAATAGAATATTGTTCATCTAGAGCAGTCACGCAACGCTTCACACAAGTCAGATTGCGACGACAATTTATTCGAAAAACCTTCCAAACGAGGCAATTAAACGAGATCAAAATGGCAGAAATGCTTGTGCTTACCAAAGGAGAGGCATACACCGAAAGATACAATGTGCTTCGTCGCCAATGCAGACAAAATTTCTATGATATTGTTTTGATCACCGAACATGTGCAAGCTGCCGTACAAAACATACTCCAACGTGATCAGGATTGCTGTAAC